TCATTCTAGCCATGCTAGGCTCAGCAATATTTTGTGGTTTAGGGTGAGTGTTGGCTTTTTGAACTTGGTTTTGGTTCGGGGTTTAGGGTTTTGGGTGGGTTTAGGGTTTTGGAATTTGGGTTTTGGGGTTGAGGGTGGGTGTTTTACGGGTATTACCCTTGAGTTGGTACAAGGGGGTACAAGCTTGACTCCCTTGATATACCCAGGCGGGTGGCGCAGCTGTTGGTTAGGTTACACTAAAAGCCCAAACCCTAAACCCTAAATCCTACACCCCAAACCCTAAATCATAAACCCGAAACAGCGACGAGGGCTCTTCGTGTACATCTTAGCAGCGGTCCGCCTCAGCGCGATCCCTCCTTTGGGCTGTCCTTTGCCTTTTGCCCTTCTTACGGATCCAGCTCGGGATCCGTGACCGCTGACGGCGCATGGTTTAGGGTTTAGGGTTTAGGGTTTAGGGTTTAGGGTTTAGGGTTTAGGGTTTAGGGTTTAGGGTTTAGGGTTTAGGGTTTAGGGTTTAGGGTTTAGGGTTTAGGGTTTAGGGTTTAGGGTTTAGGGATCCGTCTTCCATGGCCGTCCCATGTCAGCCATGCGAGGTCTGCTCACCAGGACACTGGAACCATCCCTCCGCAACCCTCGGCGAGTGAGGCGTCTTTTTTTTGAAGCTGAGCTTCTGTTGTGAACCCTAAACCCCTAAACCCTAAACCCTAAACCCTAAACCCTAAACCCTAAACCCTGAACCTTGTTTAGCTTTCGGTGTTGCTTCAGCATGAGTTGTACCGAACTGCACCCTTGAAGTCTGGAACTGCACCTGCGACCCCAGACAGACACGGATTCTGAACCTTGAGCTGAAATCACCCTGAACCCTAAACCCTAAACCCTAAACCCCAAACCCTAAACCCTAAACCCAAAACCGTAAACCCAAAACAAGCCCCAAGTCATGCTGAAGCCCTGAATCAGGAACAAACCACTCGACCCTCCAAACGCCCTCAGCCCTACGTTTGGAGTTCAGGGTTTAGGGCTTAGGGTTTAGGGAAACCCTAAACCCTAAACCCTAAACCCTAAACCCTAAACCTCTTACCCCAAACCCCACAGGCACAGGCCTCCGTGGCCGCCACGTTGTAGAGGACGTGGTATGTCACCTGGGTACTCTTGTAAAGAGCGATTGATGTCGTAGGGTTTCCGAGGCTTTTGCAGGTTTTTGGGGTGTTAGGGCTTGAGCCCTACAGACCCCTACATTCTTACATCCCAGACTAAGGGCTGTCAGGCTGAGGCCCTGAACAGCTCAAAACCAGAGTTGGGGCTTCAGGGTGTCAGGGGTTAGGGTGTTAGGGTGTCGGGGTGTTGGGGTGTTTAGGGTGTCAGGGTGTTAGGGTTTAGGGTTTAGGGTCTAGGGTCTCAGTGCCACCAGGCCGCCGCCGGGAAGACGAACTGAAGAATCTCGAAGATCCTCAGTTGGGTTTAGGGTTTGGGGTTTGGGGTTTAGGGTTTAGGGTTTAGGGTCCAGGATTTAGGGTCTAGGGTTTAGGGTTTAGGGTCCAGGATTTGGGGTTTCGGAGAGACTCAGCCGGAGGAACTTCAATCCTTACGGTTGCCGCATGCTGAGTTTGTGGGAACCCTGAAACCCTAAACCCCAAACCCTAAACCCTGAACCCCAAACCCTAAACCCTAAATCCCAAACCCTAAACCCCAAACCCTAAACCCTAAAATGGGGCCTAAGCAAAGAACCTTGAGACCTGAAGCCATAGAGCCCGGAACTGAACCCCCCCCCTAAGCCCGCAACAGTTTTACCCTCTAGAAGCTTGCGGTTTAGGATCTAGGAGTTCGGGTGTAGGGTTTAGGGTTTAGGGTTTAGGGTTTAGGGTTTAGGGTTTAGGGTTTAGGGCTTAGGGTTTAGGGTTCAGGGTTTAGGGTTTAGAGTTTAGGGTTTAGGGGCACCCGAAAGCCCCTAAACCTCGGTTTAGAAACCCCCTTCAAGCCTAAACCCGAAACCCGAAACCCTAGACCCTAGACCCTAGACCCTAAACCCTAAACCCTAAACCCTAAACCCTAAACCCTATACCCTAAACCCTAAACCCGGGTTTAGGGTCTTAGGGCTTAGGAGTTTCACCCGAAGCTGCGTGGTGCCGTCATCCACGGCGTCCGCACCGAAGTTGATGAGCTCGCCGGCCTTCCACTACCTAAGAACCTCATGGAGAGAGGGTTTAGGGTGTAGGGTTTAGGGTTTAGGGTTTGGGGTTTAGGGTTTAGGGTTTAGGGTTTAGGGTTTAGGGTTTAGGGTTTAGGGTTTAGGGTTTAGGGTTTAGGGTTTAGGGTTTAGGGTTTAGGGTTTAGGGTTTAGGGTTTAGGGTTTAGGGTTTAGGGTTTAGGGTTTAGGGTTTAGGGTTTAGGGTTTAGGGTTTAGGGTTTAGGGTTAGGGTTTAGGGTTTAGGGCTTGGGGTTGAGGATTGGCACACCTCGGGAAGCCGAGCCCGGCCTGCGCACCGCAGATGTGGACACCGAGCACCCGACCCTGAGGGCGATCCTGGGGTTGAAGGCTCTTGGTAGGGTTTAGGTTTAGGGTTTAGGGTTTAGGGTTAGGGTTTAGGGTTTAGGGTTTGGGGTTTGGGGTTTAGGGTTTAGGGTTTAGGGTTTTGGGTTTTGGGTTTAGGGTTTAGGGTTTAAGGATTCGAGCTTAGGGCTTAGGGTTTAGGGTGGGTTTTGAAAGGGGGCGGGAGAAAAGGCGTTGAGGGTTAAGGGTTGGGGCTTTAGGGTTTAGGGGTCAGGGTTCAGGGTTCAGGGTTCTTTTTGTTTTTTTTTTAGGGTTCAGGGTTCAGGGTTCAGGGTTCAGGGATTAGGGTTAGGGTTTAGGGTGAATGCTATGCGGGATATTTCAAGCCTACGAACCACCCGCAACCTTCCACCCTGAACGCTGAGCCTTCAGCCCTCAACCCTAAACCACCCGAGTTTGTACGGCTCGTATATAGGGTGCACGGCCTGGAATCACGGCTTAACCTGGAGGGCGCGGAGTTTAGGCTGTAGGGTTTAGGCGGGAAAGTTGGTCTTGGTTCCGGGCTTGGGTTTAGGGGTTTGGTTTAAATCACTCTAAACCCTAAACCCTCAACCCCAAAAACTCGCCAAAGGCGCGTAGATCATCTTCAAGAACCCCTTCTCGCCGCTCACGATGCCGCGCACCGCCCGGCTGTACCTGCCACGTGCTATGACTCTAAACCCTTAAACCCTTAAACCCTTAAACCCTTAAACCCTTAAACCCTTGAACCTTTAAACCCTTAAACCCTTAAACCCTTAAACCCTTAAGCCCTTAAACCCTTAAACCCTTAAACCCTTAAACCCTTAAACCCTTAAACCCTTAAACCCTTAAACCCTTAAACCCTTAAACCCTTAAACCCTAAACCCTAAACCCTTAAACCCTTAAACCCTTAAACCCTTAAACCCTTAAACCCTTAAACCCTAAACCCGGAAACCTAAACCCTATAACCCTGCAAACCCTATACCCTAAAGAGGGTCTTTGGGTATGGAGGTTGGAGTCTACACGGGCAAGCCTAAACACTAAACCCCCTAAACACTCCTGAAACCGAAGTTCCCCTGTGATCCTAAACCCTAAAACCTGTAGCCCTTTTACCCTAAACCCTGAACCCTAAACCCTAAACCCTAAACCCTAAAAGCTCCTATGCAAAAACAAACCCCACAGATTGTCCAAGGGGCTCCACACGGACCAAGCCGTAGTTCAGGCCCTTGGCCTCGGCCTTCGCGGAACTTGAGAGCAGTGGGTTGGGGGTTTAGGGTTTAGGGTTTGGTTTAGGGTTTAGGGTTTAGGGTTTAGGGTTTAGGGTTTAGGGTTTAGGGTTTAGGGTTTAGGGTTTAGGGTTACAGGGGATCTTCAATCTGGCATCGTCCTTAGTGGAGGTTCATAGAAGTGAAGGAAACAGGGGGGACTTGGGCATCTGCTGCTGTTCTTCCTGGATGCCTCCGCGCCGCTCTTTCTCGGCGCCAGGGGCTCGGGCCCTCGCCCTGCCCCTCGAAGGCTCAGTGGAAACGTAATTTCCATGGGTGTCGTTGCACTCCATGCTGCGGCCATGTGGGGGTTTACCAAAATAAGGGGTACCATTTATAGACCCTTCAACTAGTGGCATTCCTCTATATCATAAGGAACCCCAATAAGGTACCCGAATTTCGGAAACCCCCATGTTGCAGGCCCAAAACAGAGGGCTCGGGCCCTAGCCCTGCCCCCCTAAGGCTCAATGGAAACGTAGTGTCCATCGGTGTCCTTGCACTCCATGCGGCGGCCGTGTTGCAGGCCCAAAACGTAGGTGATTGCACCCAACATCAAAACGCCAAGGCATGAGATCCACTGAGCATCCAGGCCCGTAGCCACGCGACTCCCATAGGGAAGGCCGTGGAAGGGCCCCGTGGGTGACCACAAGGTGAAGCCGACGTCTGGGCTTCTCAGCCACCAGAGTGGATACTTCTGGCCCTCTGCATCCACCCCCCTGTCGGACTCGTTGTACGTGGTCACCAAGCGGCCGTACTTGGCGATGAGGTGCCAAGCCAGCTGCCACCACTCCTGCACCTTCTGCACGGCGAAGGCATTGGCGCGCTCCGCCAACTCACCCTCCGAGCACGAAGCTTCCCACCTTGCTTCTCCAATCATAAAGGAATATAGAAACGGGTTAAACTTGGCGATTCCTACTAAAAAAAGAAAAACGCCCCAATGTTTAAGGTTTAAAGTTCAGTTCTTGGCTAAAGCCAGCCACTCCTCCAGGGCCGCGGTTGCCTCGCGATCCATCTCCAAGGCCCGAGCCCGAACCTCCGCGTTGATCAGCTCGAAGTTCAGGTCGGAGTACTGGTTGATGAGGTTGAAGGCCCACCAAGCCGCCTGGGCTACTAGAGGCCTTCTAATCCCCTATATAATCCCCCTAAGCAACGCTATAAGGGGCCCCTTCTAATCCCCTAAACCAACCCTTTCAAAGGGCCTTCTTAAAGGGGGCTGTAGGGTATACAAATTAGCCCATGCAGGGCAAGCTGGCCTGGGTGTTGAAGGTGGACATGTTCAGGCCGTGGGCGCTGTACATCTCCGGTGCCGGGATCTCTGAGGCTCCGTAGAACGGCAGCCACACGGTGCCGTGCGCTGCGTCGTAGCCGAACCAGGTGCGGCTGCGCCGACGGGGCCGAGGTTCCAGGACGTAGGAGTAGCCGGTGCGGAACATGGAGATGGCACGTTCCCACTGGCCTGTGAGGCCATGAACAGGTCCGCGGTTGGGCGTGCCGTGGGGACCTGCCGCCATGCCTTTGGTGAGGTCATAGGGGGTGCCCTCGTAGTGGTCGCGCAGCGCGTTCATGACCATGCCGCGCGTCACCGTCTGCTTGGGAGCCCTCACCGAGGGTGGATAGGGGTTCTTCGTCTTGGGCAGGTTCCCGAGCTCCGGGTCCAACTTCCCCCCTTCCTCCGGGCTGAGCAGGCTAAAGACACGCCACATGCGGCGGCCGCTATAGAAGCTCAGCAGGTTCTTGGTGCTCTCCACCTGTCCTGGGGCCGTGTTGTACTCGTAGGGCTGGTAGCCGTAGGCACCGAAGAAGTCGAAGTCGCCCTCGAACTTCGCATCCTTCGGGCTCCACCATCCCATCTCCTCCGCGAGCTCCGTCACCTTTGGGCTGAAGAGGTTGTTCTCCGGATCCTTCAGGTCCAGGCTGCGGATGGTGAAGGAATTTCCCACCGCCGCCACATGGTCGCTGGGCAAGCGCTGCGCCGCCCAGATGGCCGAGGCATTCTGCTTGCCCGTGAGCACGTTGAAGACCCACATGTCCCCTGGCTCCGCATCCACCAGGACCAGGGCCTCGGAGCTGCCTCCATAAGCAGGTGCGTCGGGACTCCCCGAGTCGGCACTGTAGAACCCCTGCTCCACGGCGATGTCGCCCATCATCTGCACCGCGCACCTGGCTGTCTTGCAGCGCTCCATGGCCAACTTCGTAAGGTCTTCGATGCCCACGCGGTTCTTGCCCCAAGGCTTGTCCTTGGTCGCTGCCCAGCCTACCGTCATGGCCGTGGCCGTGCTCTCGCCGATTGAGAGGCCCCACTCGTTCTGCATGCCATAGTCCGTGTCCCAGTAGCCCCATGTTTCTTCCACCTGCGGGATCTCACCGATGACCTCGAACTCCTGCTGCCCCTCCACCGGATGGTACGCGGGCGCCATGTGAGAGCTCACGAGGCGCGGGTACGGGCTGCGCCATTCGTAGAGCTTCCGCACGGAACCTTTCGGCCACTTCTTCCTCGGCACCCGCACCAGGCGCACGTCCGTGGTGCTTGGGCCACTGTCGTCGCTATGAGAGACCATGGGATAGCCCGTGGCGCTTGCGTCCTTGCCAACGGCAATGATGGTGCAGGCCTCCCCAAAAGACCACAGCAAGGTGCTGCTTAGCGCCAGCTTCCCGAAAATCATGCGCGACATGGCGAATCTAAAGCAGGCCAGAGCTGTTTCAAAAAAAGAAGATCCCTGATTGGCGTGGCACTGAACATTCAGTCAAAAGTGGAATGAATCGTGGAAGTCTGTGTGAAGAGTCCTGCAGTTGGATGATCGCAAGCCGCTCCGGACTTTAGCCAAAAATGCTACGCTTGCTTGGTAGAAGAAGGGGGTGGGGACTTCATTCATGGCCTCCTCGTCAGGGATGCACACTCACCCAAAAACAGCAACGCAGCCCTATGCGCTGAACCCTGAACCCTAACCCTAAACCCTAAACCCTACGGCCTTTGTGGAACTTGGGAGCAGGGTTTGGGTTTTAGGGTTTAGGTTTTAGGGTTTAGGGTTTAGGATTTAGGGTGTAGGGTTTAGGGTTGCATTCGGCATGCCATCGGCCCGTAGAGGTGGAGGAAACAGGGGGGACTTGGGCATCTGCTGCTGTTCTTCCTGGATGCCTCCGCGCCGCTCTTTCTCGGCGCCAGGGGCTCGGGCCCTCGCCCTGCCCCTCGAAGGCTCAGTGGAAACGTAATTTCCATGGGTGTCGTTGCACTCCATGCTGCGGCCATGTGGGGGTTTACCAAAATAAGGGGTACCATTTACAGACCCTTCAACTAGTGGCATTCCTCTATATCATAAGGAACCCCAATAAGGTACCCGAATTTCGGAAACCCCCATGTTGCAGGCCCAAAACAGAGGGCTCGGGCCCTAGCCCTGCCCCCCTAAGGCTCAATGGAAACGTAGTGTCCATCGGTGTCCTTGCACTCCATGCGGCGGCCGTGTTGCAGGCCCAAAACGTAGGTGATTGCACCCAACATCAAAACGCCAAGGCATGAGATCCACTGAGCATCCAGGCCCGTGGCCACGCGACTCCCATAGGGAAGGCCGTGGAAGGGCCCCGTGGGTGACCACAAGGTGAAGCCGACGTCTGGGCTTCTCAGCCACCAGAGTGGATACTTCTGGCCCTCTGCATCCACCCCCCTGTCGGACTCGTTGTACGTGGTCACCAAGCGGCCGTACTTGGCGATGAGGTGCCAAGCCAGCTGCCACCACTCCTGCACCTTCTGCACGGCGAAGGCATTGGCGCGCTCCGCCAACTCACCCTCCGAGCACGAAGCTTCCCACCTTGCTTCTCCAATCATAAAGGAATATAGAAACGGGTTAAACTTGGCGATTCCTACTAAAAAAAGAAAAACGCCCCAATGTTTAAGGTTTAAAGTTCAGTTCTTGGCTAAAGCCAGCCACTCCTCCAGGGCCGCGGTTGCCTCGCGATCCATCTCCAAGGCCCGAGCCCGAACCTCCGCGTTGATCAGCTCGAAGTTCAGGTCGGAGTACTGGTTGATGAGGTTGAAGGCCCACCAAGCTGCCTGGGCTATTTTTTGGGCTTTTTATAATCCCCCTAAGCAACCCTATAAAGGGCCTTCTAATCCCCCAGAAACCAACCCTTTTTGAAAGGGCCTTTTTTAAAGGGGGTTGTAGGGCAGGGTATACTAATTAGCCCATGCAGGGCAAGCTGGCCTGGGTGTTGAAGGTGGACATGTTCAGGCCGTGGGCGCTGTACATCTCCGGTGCCGGGATGTCTGAGGCCCCGTAGAACGGCAGCCACACGGTGCCGTGCGCTGCGTCGTAGCCGAACCAGGTGCGGCTGCGCCGACGGGGCCGAGGTTCCAGGACGTAGGAGTAGCCGGTGCGGAACATGGAGATGGCACGTTCCCACTGACCTGTGAGGCCATGAACAGGTCCGCGGTTGGGCGTGCCGTGGGGACCTGCCGCCATGCCTTTGGTGAGGTCATAGGGGGTGCCCTCGTAGTGGTCGCGCAGCGCGTTCATGACCATGCCGCGCGTCACCGTCTGCTTGGGAGCCCTCACCGAGGGTGGATAGGGGTTCTTCGTCTTGGGCAGGTTCCCGAGCTCCGGGTCCAACTTCCCCCCTTCCTCCGGGCTGAGCAGGCTAAAGACACGCCACATGCGGCGGCCGCTATAGAAGCTCAGCAGGTTCTTGGTGCTCTCCACCTGTCCTGGGGCCGTGTTGTACTCGTAGGGCTGGTAGCCGTAGGCACCGAAGAAGTCGAAGTCGCCCTCGAACTTCGCATCCTTCGGGCTCCACCATCCCATCTCCTCCGCGAGCTCCGTCACCTTTGGGCTGAAGAGGTTGTTCTCCGGATCCTTCAGGTCCAGGCTGCGGATGGTGAAGGAATTTCCCACCGCCGCCACATGGTCGCTGGGCAAGCGCTGCGCCGCCCAGATGGCCGAGGCATTCTGCTTGCCCGTGAGCACGTTGAAGACCCACATGTCCCCTGGCTCCGCATCCACCAGGACCAGGGCCTCGGAGCTGCCTCCATAAGCAGGTGCGTCGGGACTCCCCGAGTCGGCGCTGTAGAACCCCTGCTCCACGGCGATGTCGCCCATCACCTGCACCGCGCACCTGGCTGTCTTGCAGCGCTCCATGGCCAACTTCGTAAGGTCTTCGATGCCCACACGGTTCTTGCCCCAAGGCTTGTCCTTGGCCGCTGCCCAGCCTACCGTCATGGCCGTGGCCGTGCTCTCGCCGATGGAGAGGCCCCACTCGTTCTGCATGCCATAGTCCGTGTCCCAGTAGCCCCATGTTTCTTCCACCTGCGGGATCTCGCCAATGACCTCGAACTCCTCCTGCCCCTCCACCGGATGGTACGCGGGCGCCATGTGGGAGCTCACGAGGCGCGGGTACGGGCTGCGCCATTCGTAGAGCTTCCGCACGGAACCTTTCGGCCACTTCTTCCTCGGCACCCGCACCAGGCGCACGTCCGTGGTGCTTGGGCCACTGTCGTCGCTATGCGAGACCATGGGATAGCCCGTGGCGCTTGCGTCCTTGCCAACGGCAATGATGGTGCAGGCCTCCCCAAAAGACCACAGCAAGGTGCTGCTGAGCGCCAGCTTCCCGAAAATCATGCGCGACAT